ACTCCCAACTTACTGGGTCATTGGGCTCACTTTGATGATCCGAACTGTTCACATTTTAAGATTTGTTAAGTATATCATACTTATAAAAAATCAAGTTGATAGGAAATTAGAAACTACATGTTCGGATCATCAAACTATAAATCATTTTTAAAAAAGAATAATAAACAGTTATCCGGACATATACTTTTTGATATTCAATCAATTTGATTTTTTAAAAGAAAGATATACTTAATAAATCTTAAAATATAAACAATTTAAATTATCAAAATTAAATTCAAAAATAAATCCAATAATCTAACAAATAGAGAGTTAAGGAGAGGATCTGATCCTCAAGCCATGCTGGACTCGAAGTTAATGAAAGGTCTCGGAAAGATAAAATTAAACAAACAAATTAGACAAAAAAGAAATAATTAAAATTTGTGGAATATGAGGAGGGAGGGAGGTGGTAACCGGCTTGGCCGGTTGGGGTGTCCTAGTTAGCGGGTTACAGTGGGGAGGGGGTTATGGGGTGTGACCGCCGAGGGTGGGTTATTCACCTCGCAGTTCGTTGGGGGAAGCTTAAGGTTTAGTCACGTCGACATGAATGAAATGGCAAAAAAAAAAGGAGTCAATCAGGAGGACTGTTTGGGGACAGGGTGACCTAAAAGTAGGGTCCTCTATCTCTCTCTCTATCTCTGATGGGTTGAGTCCCACCCAACCTAACTGTTGCAGGGTGGTGGGTCTGTACGGAGGTGCTGACCGGGAATAGCAGGTTGGCTCCTATGGGGGAGAGTACCAAAACTTCAAAAACACCCAATACGTCTCTCTCGAAACTCGCGCGCAGGGATGGTGATGGAAGACACCAAGGATTCTCTAGAGTGAAATTTTTTTAAAATTTTTTAGAGTATTATATTGTGTGGTTGAGATTTATTGGCAAGTCACATCAGAAAAATTGATGTGACTTGTCAGTAAATCTCAACCACACAATATAACACTCTAAGAAACTTTAAAAAAAAATCACTCTAGAGAATCCTTGCTCGATAGAGGAAGGTTGAGGAAGAAGCATTAATGTGTGAATCGAGAGAAATGATGTAAATGTGCGGTGGGTATCTCATTTGACGAAATTGCCCCTGGCTATACTTTTTTTTTTAAAAATTATTAAATATTATTACTCTTGACAAATGATAATTTGCAAATAATATACATTATGCGGGTCATATTTTATATACTAACTACTTAACAATGATTAGTGAACATATTTTTACTTGTAAAATGTTTCATTGCGAGATTAATTTGAAATAATATATAAATTATATTATATAGTATATCAAAATTACTTAATTGCCATTTCTCTTTATTTAGATAAGTACACCTATATTGTTAAAGAAATTTAAGAAAGTTAGATTCCAAGTCTTCAACTTACAGTGAAATAGAAGAATTTTTCAACGTTTGCAGAGCTAGTCCATGTAATATTCTAAACTAATAGTTATTGATTTAAACATACCAAGACTTTTATGTTGAAATTTTAAGAGAGTATGCAAAATGTTGACTGCTAAATGAAATGAAACGTAACTCTTTCGGGTAAAATTGGTACATGCACCTCATTTGTGGAATAAGTGTTCTTAGTTTGCTAATAATTGTAAAAAAATAAAAAAAAAATAACATTTTAATTTTCTTTTCAATTGATCTAAAAGTAAAAAAATTATAAACATACATCATTTGCAAATTTTGTCATTTATTATTTATTTTTTATTTTTAGAAAAAAAAACAAAATATATTTTGGTTGTCACTTTAAAAAAAGTGAGGCATATGGCATATGGCTGGAGTAAGGAATTCAAAAAACCCGTAATCCGAACCGGTTTAATCCAATCTGGTAGGTTTAGACTATTTTTTGAATTCGTGATTTGGTTCTAGTTTAGAAAATTGGGAAATCGATTTCTACAGATTGGTTTCGGATTTGAGTTCACAGTTCTAGATTGAAACCGAACCCAACCATATATAACTTAAACCATATACATACCATACACTCTGTTGATGTTCTTGATGCTTTTGTCATTTCTTTTTTTTTTTATTTATAATTATTTAGCATAATTTTGTTCTCTAATTGTTGTTGCCAAGACAAAATGTTTATTGGATGGGAGTTCTATGTTTGATACATGTTAAACAATATATTTATTTACTATATATTATGTTTGTTTAAATTATGTTTCTAAAAATCATGAACAAATTAATGTTGGAAAAATTTCTGATGGGTTGAAAAAAAAAAATTCTGATGGGTTGATTTTTTTTGAAAATGTTAAATGATTTTTCTTGCGAATAGATTATGTGAAACTCCGAACCGTGTTTAAATGGTTTGATTTGGATTGGTTTCATAATTTAAATAAATTAGTTTGGTTTCAATTTTTATGGAACAGTAACTAACAAATTGATCCTAATTTTATCTCAAACTAAACCAATCTGAACCATATTCACCTGACACAATTTACTAATATAAAAGTACTGTTGTGGATTATAATTGCGTATAAATATTATTTATTGCCTAATATATTTCATTTTAGAAAAATGCTTGGGAGCACTAATTAGTGCTCCCACTAATTAGGTGGTAGTGGGTCCCGCCATTAATGATGTGATGTTTTGGTCTTGGAGTTGTGTTTTTTTTTTTTACTTTTTTAATGCATTAATATTATTAGTGGTGATATTTTTAATGGGATGAATCATTGTTGTTCATTTTAACTGTTTCATGAGTTTTGTGTACAAACATTACTTTATTCATCTTGGACCTGTCTATTCTATCCAATCTTACTTTTTGCCATCCTAGTTATACTTTATTATTTGACATCAATACAATGTGGGTGCTAATATGCTACTATAGTTTTCATTAGGTACTTTGGTGTCGTTTGGCATGAAAGTTGGATTGCTTTTTTGGTTAAATTAGTTACAAAAAAATAAAATAAATTAAAAAATTAATAAGACAAAATATCACATTCAAATCATAATCATTTTACTTTTTCTTTCATAAAAATCAAAAAAACCAACCTAAACGAACTTTTTAACCGAGTCTAAACTAATTAAAAAACCAACTCAACTTTGCAAACGAAGCCTTTGTTACAAATATTATATATTAGGCGACAAAATGCAGTAGTCTTCCTCAGTGCACGATTATGGCTGCATGTGTAATTTGCAACTTATGCCATCATCAGTTTGACTGCAAATGAGTCAAGATGAGGTGGTTATAAATATGATCGAAAGATTTGGATTAAGATCGTAAAAATTTAAAGTTTGACTGTATCATAACTAACCTAGTTTTTTTTTTTTGAAGCTATAACTAACCTAGTTTAGGTTTGGGACATTCTAAAGGTTGAAATGAGCGAAAGGGAAAGAAATTAGTAGTTTGAAATGACCCAATTGGGGTATTGGGTTAAGAGTATCCGAGCTTCTCCATCACAAAAAGAAATTTTAATAAATCATTGTTATTTTTCTTTCCATAATTCAAACTTTGACCATAAGCAAGCACTTAATTGATTTATAATTATTAAGAGTGATATTTGAGCTTGAATTTTATTTTATTTGGTTTCCCACGAGATATTCGGGGCCAGTTTAACGTGCATCTCGACTAATTCCCACTCACAGTAAGAGCCTATCGCTGACCACTAGATGTTACAACTGTGGAAAGTTGAATTGAGAAGTAAATTCAATCGAATTTCAAAACTTTATTCAGTAATAGACAAACAACTGGACCATAGGGTCGATTTAGCCCACTCACCCCCATTAAAAAAATGTGTTGATTTTTGGAAAACCGAATCTTCTGAAACCAAATTTCTAAATATGCTATTAAAAATCTTTTGGTGAGCTTGAATTTTGTTGATACGTTGTTACTCATTTTATTTTTTTAAAAAAATAATACTATTAAGGAAGTAGGTTTGTGTAAATAGGGTAAAATTGAAAGGCTTTTGTGTGAGTGCAGGGGCATTAAAACCAATCGAGAGAGAAGGGTAATAAGGACAATAGAAAAGAGGATGCAGATTGAGGTACAGAGACAAAGAGGCAACTCAGAGACGCATTTATTAATGGGTCAGAATAAGAAGTCCTCTCTTATTCAGCAGAGACATTTTCTAATCGAACGGTCAACACCTCCCCCCATCAGCATCTGACGGCATATAATAGACTGCAGTGCACACTGCCTTTTCTCCATCACAACCATGTTCCATCCCCCCCTCTCTCTCTCTCTCTCTCTCTCTCTCTCTCTCTCTCTCTCTCTCTCATTTATGGAATCAAAATATTTATTTTAGTTTTTTTGGTAATATATTACTAAAATTAAAAAAATATATTTAATCTACAAAATTTTATTAATATAAATCTTATACCATCATTATTCATTGATACAAATTTTCAATTTGAATTATATCCAATGCATGAATAGGATTGAAATATTCATGATCATAATTGAAAAGCATCTATATCTATATCGTAATATATTTTTAAATTCACAATTAAAATCGATTTTAATTTCAAAGTGATGGGATAGAATGATTTTCAAAATTTTTAATGATATGTTATAATTTTATGCATTGATAAATTAAAGTTTCCTATTCCAACTATATAATGGAGTATTTTCTCAAAAGTAGATCTAAATCTAAATTTTCATGATAATTAATCTTCTGTTATCAATCTAAAAAAAAAAAAAATCTTGTGTTTAGGAATCATTTTGTTTATCTATTTCATAACATTCGTATCCATTAAATTAGTTTTCAAGATTACAAATTAGATTTCAAAATTTTTTTTTTTTGATAACCCAGTATTCGAGTCAATATTTTTTTAAGACATACACATTGATTAATCTTAAACCAATCGATCAGACAAACACACAATAAGCTGCTAGTAATCTAACTAGGACAGATTTCAAAATTACCACACATCAAAATTTTCAATGATTCGCTGATTTTGACTCAGGATCACATTAATCAGCCCTAAAATATACATACACGCATGTATATGCATATAAAGATGACGTAGATGCGATGGTAATATGACTTTTTTTTCTCTTCGTTTTTCTTATATAGTTTCTGTTTTTCGTTTATTATTTTTCTTTCAAAATCCCTTTCTATGTAACTGTGTAAAACAGATATATACACGATAGTCATCTTTTCATTTTCTTCTCCTTTTTGGGATCGCGAAACTTGAAGATCGGATCGAGCGCTCTTGCACTCGAACCCTAGTACCTCACCTATCTCCGACGAACGAAGGTTCCTCCTAATCTTACACCATTTTCAACGCCCACAGTGACGACGATTCGTTTTCTCACCTGTTTTCGGTCTTGTTTCCATCAGAGAGAGAGAATAGAGTTAAGACTCCGATCTGAAGAGTTTTTTGGCGAAATCAGAAGGTAACCATAAGAGGTGAGATTTTGACGTTTTGATTCAAAATTCCGAATATATTTTCTATTTTGATTTCCCATTTTTTTTTTTGTTTTCTTTTTTTCAGTGAATTTGAGAGGAGTTCGGTTAGATAAGGAAAGATCTCGACGTTTGGATTCACTGCGAAGCGAAGATTTGTGTGATTTGATGTGGTTTTTGTCCTAGAAAGTCATTCCGATTGAAAACCGTGGATCTAGAAAAAAAATGGTAGATAACGAGTTTTTCTCTGCATTTCAAAAGAAACTTCTAGAGAGAGAAGATGACGCCTCCTCCTGAATTGAAGCCACAACTATAGTTCTTACATTTACTGGTAATTTCTTATCGATAATTGTTCTCAGTCAAGTTTCGATCATCTCTTTTGGTGCCGATTTTGTCCATTTTTTTCCTTTTGAAATATGTTTATATATATATATATATATTTTTTGTTTCTTCTTATAAACTGTTTGGTTATGTTTATTATATTTGACTTATCATGTCGGCTTTCTATACACGAAGCCTTAATGAGTATTGACTACTTTGCTATTATATACAAACAAAATTTTTATCGCTGTTGAGTTTCTTATAGTGGTGATACTGTATTTATTTTGGTTTGTTTCTATGTCTCTGCAGTGTGAAAGAAGACGATGTCATCGTCCAACTCTCCGTGCGCGGCGTGCAAGTTCCTTCGGCGAAAATGCACTCAAGAGTGCGTATTTGCGCCTTATTTCCCGCCAGATCAGCCTCAGAAATTCGCAAATGTTCACAAAGTCTTTGGCGCAAGCAACGTTGCGAAGATCCTCAACGAACTGAACGCGGCCCAGCGTGAGGACGCTGTGAATTCACTAGCGTATGAAGCAGAGGCTCGCCTTCGCGACCCGGTTTATGGTTGTGTAGGTCTGATTTCGATTCTTCAACACAGGCTCAAGCAAGTCCAGGTTGATCTGTACAATGCGAAGAAAGAATTAGCAAACTACATTGGACCGTCGGCGATGTTACCGATTCTTCAACACCCGGGTTTTATGCAACAACAACAACACCCAAATACGCCCTCTTCGTCTACTGTGATTCCTTACAACATGTCACCTGTTTCGGGTTTATCTGCTGGGAATTCACATAACACGCAATTGTTGATGCGTGAACAACATCATCAACATCAGCACCAACAAATGCTTGAGGCCCAGCAGATGGCGGCGGTCGTGGCGGCCAGAGAGCAACAGGAGATGTTGAGGACTTACGAGCAACAACAACAGCAACAGCAACAGCAGCAAGAACTCGTGAGGTTTAATGATGGGTTTGACCCGGCCAGTGGACCCGTAAATGTAAGTGGGTTCAACAACGGTGCTATGTCACCGTCGTTGGCTTTGGGTTGTTTTGACAGCCCATATCAGATTCAGCAACAAGCACAAGAGCATCATTCGCATCACCATCAGCTTCAGCCACAGCTTTTGCTTCAACAACAACAACCACAACCACCGCAGGCTCGACAAAGGTCCGGAAGCGAAGAGGGTGGGAGAGTTGGTCCGTCCTGTTAGATGTTATTGAAGCTCAAATGCCCTCTCAGCTTATTCTTTCAACAAATTTTCATTTCAGGTAAGCCCCTCTCTCTCCTCATTTCCTGTTTGGTGTATGATTTGTGTTAGTGCTGTTGAATATGTTACGTTTTTATGCGTAAAGGCTTTTATTTTTTTACATGGAGTCGTTGATATTCTTGTTGCTGGGATTTGAAAGCGAAAATTACTTTTTATTGCATAGTGCAGAGCGGGTTGGTTAAGAGATTGCATAGGGTAGAAAGGGGTTGGTTAAAGGAATTATTGTCTTTTCACAGCCCAGAGATGTCTCATTCAGTAATCATAACTAGTACCTACAATTTTTAGCTTTAAGTTTTTTAGCCTTTTGTATGAATTCAGACTTTTTGGCTTGTTTGTGAATTGGCATGTTGGGTCCAGGTGAGGTTAAAAAGTGATTATTTGTTGAATTATTTGTTTTTTTTTTTAGTTTGAATTTTTTTTTTTTTATCTTGTAAACGGTATCATTTTTAATGAGTGAAAGGTTTATGACTTTTTTATTTTTTTTTTCTATTTATTTTAGTCTTTTGCTTGCCTTTAGTCTGAAAAAAAGTTGCATTAAACATTTTAGAAAAATTCTATTATATACACTTTTTATTGTATGTATTTTAAAGTCATGTTATTTTTTTAAAATTTTAATCATATTTTAATTATAACTTATGAAATCTTTAATTACATCTCATATGTTATTTAGTTATATTTTTTTTTAATTATGACTTAAAAAGTATGAAATTATAATTTTTTTTATTGTAAGATGCATACGATATACACAAATGTGTTGTACCATAGTCTTTCTCAACATTTTAAAGTATATACGTAAATAAAAATTCATTACACAATGGTGAGCACCAACATGTTGATTCATCCATTACAATTTTTTTTTAAGAGTTGGAGATTTATATTTTAACTCATAGAATTGGGTTGGATTGGTTCGGCTCTATTTATATCTTATTGTATATAAATACATATATTATTTAATTTGTTAAACAAAATAAATGCATTTAATAAAGAAAATACTCTTGAAGGATTGAATTTATGATGTAATGTATAAATAATAAGTTTGTGTGCCAACTTAACTACAAATATTTTTGGTTTCTCCTACATAGCCCCAACTTGGCTTTGTCAAAGTGTACCACTTAATCACACCTAGTAGGTGGAATAAATATTGAATGTGATGTCACCAATTAATAAAAAATTATTGTAAATTAAATTGAATGAACACTCTTATTACCTACAACTTTAGTGATATTGATATCACCATTATACTCCCATATTTCAATAAGCGAGCTTTTGAATATGTGAAGATTAGGCTATCAAAGCGCCGAAACTTGTGTTGCAAAAATTCCGTCCCAAAATAGTGGTTTCTTTTGGGGGAATTCAATTTTTTTTTTTATAGTACATTTTTTTTGGAGGATATCAGTTGTTATAATTGTACTTTTTATATTATTAATAAATTTTAAAAAAATGCAAAATAAAAAATTCATATTATTCTATTCCTTGATTTTTAAAAATGACTAATAGTTTATGACAATAAAAAATAGAATAAAAAAACTAATATTTTGAAACGGATGGAGTACTACAAATAATGGGTTGTTGGTGTTTAACTTGTAGATTTATTGATTGTCTGTTTTTATGCAATTTAATTGATAATTGTAAATATTCTTGAGTCAATTGGAAATAAATTTTTTTTTTTTTTTTTTTGAAAACAAACTATGTTAGTGTAGAAAGAAATAAAAGTGTGTAATTTGAACTCTCCCATATAATTTGGTTGTTGTATTTAGGCTTCTTTTGGCAAACAGATTACAAACAATTTTTTAGTTTTTAATATTTTTGAGTCATATTACTCCTCTATATTTTTACATATTTTTTAAAAAAAAGTCACAAAAAAAAAAAAAACTAGCTTTTAACCTAGTGGAAGGACATAGCTACAATCCTAGAGGTGACAGTTTTCCCCTAGCTACCTAGCTAGTAAATTAGTAATGGACAACTGAGGCATTCATTTTATCATATTCAGGTCAGACAGTCGCAATCCGGATGCACCCACCAAACAATAGGAGTGTTGTAACACAAACTTGGTTTAATTAGTTAGGTGGCTTGGAGGATTGATCAAGGCAGGGTCTCATGGTGATGAAAGCTCTTCCTCAACAACCCCCCCCCCCCCTTCTCTCTTTCTCTCTCCCCTTTGTTTGGATAGAAAGTAGATGAAGAGTGTTTTGAACCTGTTGCCTTTTGACATTTGAATTTGCTAACGGGAACTTGAAATGAAACTAGGCCATAAAGTGTTATGATAATTACTTGTACAATTTCTTTCTATACCAGTGTTGTCATTTTAGCTTTCAGGGTAATAATTATGTTTCACCTTGCTTTGTTTTCTGAGACTGAAATGTTTTTAATTCAATAAGTGCACATACATGAGAACCTTACAAGTTGTTTCAACTCAAACCTTAATTCATGTTTTGTACTCACAAATCAGTATGTGATTGGCCAAAACAGACAGACCCTTCCTCTGACTATTCATTTCCTTTTGTTTTCTGAGTGCAGCTCATTTCTGCCTTATGCCAGCGTACAAAGACAAGTAAAAAGAGAGAGAGAGAGTAATAACTGTTTTTCGTTTTTAAAGTTCGAAGAAGATGATTTCGCGGGAGGCGTATTTTAAAATGTCAACAATGCTAGAGGGTCACAATTTTTGTAGTCATAATGGCTCAAAACTGTCAAAATGACGTCGTGTTGGGTGCAAAACATGTCAAAACGACGTCGTTTTCACAGTTTTGAGCCATTGTGACCACAAAAATTATGACCTTCAAACATTTTCTTTAAAATGTAGGTGGTGTATTGATCTCAACTATAGTGTTCTCTTTTAGATTACATTTAGAAAGCTTCAAGAAATCTTACTTTACATTTACTGCTCGTAGCATAACTATTTTGAAAAGCATACTCCCTTTCCCTCATTGTCTCGTAATTTTTTTTTTTTTTGTTTTTTTTTTTGTTTTTGTTTTTCCTGACAAACTTAAGCGATTATCGGCATGGCTCGAATAACAAATCTTAATTTTTCTTTGTTCAGTTTATCAAGATTGTCACTACTAAGGTGAGTAAATAACTTCGAAATAGCATCACTATCATTTGCCCATCCATGATACAAAAACAATATTAAAGTTCAAATCTAAGAAAGTAATTATTTATATTGTGTTTGGTTGGAGGATTTGAGGAGGGATTTGGAAAGGGAAAGAGAAAATGTGTGTGAAACTAGGTGAAATGTAAGTATATTTTATTCACATTTCACCTAACTTTTCCTTTTCTCTTTTCAAATTTCTTCTTAAATCTTCTAACCAAACACAGTGTTAAGTTGTATTGAGTAGATTTGGGAGAAACGACCCCTAGAATGGTATTGTGTTAATGTATGGAATGAATTTATATTATATGTTGATATTTCTCTTTAGTAATTTTATTTTATTTCTTTAATTTTTAATTGTGAGGGAAGTTGTGGGCCTCATTTGGATGTCTATTTAGTAGAAAAATGTTGAGACCCATTTAGTGTGTTTGGTTTGAGATTTTTGAATTAAATTTTTTGAAAATTGACTTTTTTGATTTTCGTATTTTTTTATTTTTAGTGAATATTTTTTAAATTTTAAACATTGTTTTTACTTTTTTAGATGCACCTTACTTAGATATATTTAAAAATAAAAAATTTGTGAAAAAATATTTTAAAAAATTAATAAATACATAAAAATACAAAAAATGTACTGAATTCTTGTATTTTTTTTTATATTTTTGGTATTTAGTGAATTTTTAAAAGATTATTTTTACAATTTTTTTACTTTTTAGGTGTATTTATGTTAGGTGTGTCTAAAAAGTAAAAAAAATTGTTTAAAATATTTTAAAAAATTTAGTAAAAACAAAAAAAAAATATGAAAAATAAGAAAGTAGAATTTTCTGAAAAGTATTTTTTGAAAAGTAGAAACAAGCAAGGTTACTACTCTCACTATGTCCAGTTAAAGTTAAGAATATGTGTTATAATAAAAAAATTAAAAAAAAATAAAATAAAATTGGTTAATGTCCACTTTTAAGAATGTGGGTTATAATAAACAAAAAAAAGAAAAGAAAAAAACAATTGGTTTGGTTAATGAGCACCTTAAGGATATTAGTTAATAATGTTTAAATTGATTATACATTACATGTTACACGCACTTTCATACATTACGTATAAGAATATCAAACTTCTTATCGTGTTCTAACGATACTCATTAACAAAACTCTTTAAAATAAACTGATAATCTTTATCTGCATATAGCACAAACAACCAACTATAATAATGAACAACTGCAAATTCGTTGATTTTTCAAATCTTAAAATCCAAATGCAACGTTAGCTTCTATCAGTTTGGTTGACTGGTTCACTTGTGATTTCATAAGAATGAGGATGTTTTGAAAGCAGGATTATTATACTCAATTATGATCGGGCTCATCGATTTTATTAAATTAACTCTGATGATCATGTGCATGGTATAACATATACGGACTTCTTGAGGGCTGTGTTTAATAAACATTAAAATAAAGTTCTTGCCAAAGTGCTTCTTTAGAGTACATGGTAAGAATGTTTAAAAAAAAAAATTGGCTAACAAGTGCCTTAATGTTTAAAAATTAAGGATTAATTACCTAAAAATTCTATTCACCAATACTGTAGTAGCTTAGGTTTTGTCTAAGGTTTTTTGAACCAATAAATTCTATTTTGAGATATAAAGACATTTTTGCTCGTCCTTTGTTTTCATTCGACTATTTAGTAAAACTGATAATATTATCAATTTTTTTTAGTTTTAAAACTAAGAACATTATTAATTTTGCACAACAATATTCCAGATAGTTGTTTTGCTAATTCAGAGAGAGAAGGAAAAAAAAAAACAAAATATGAAATTAAACGTTTTTGCCCTCTGTCCTTTGGTTTGATTTGATTATTTAGTAAATTGAGAATATTATCAGTTTTTTTCAGTTTTAAAACTAAGAACACTGAGGAAAAAAAAAAAACAGAGTATGAGATTAAATAGGTGATTTCATTCTCATTACTCTATATATGAGAACAATGATACCAAAATCAACGTTGAAATTAAATTGAAATAAAAAATAAAAGTTTAGAAATTGAAAAGATTCTCTAAAAAACTAGGGTTTAAGATATTTAAATCTTTTTCATCATTTCCCTTCTTCAAATTTGAAAAGTCTCGAATCGTTGAGCTGATCTATAATGTCATTGATCACAATTTTGCAAACCTCAAGGTATTCGATGTTCATTTAGGTAATTGATTTCGACATTGGATTTGGAGGCCAGTAGGTTTCGTTCATAAAGGAAGTCGTTGATCGAGCCGAGTCTCGCAAATCCAATATTCCAATTCTTCGAATCACTGCAATTGTTGCTGAAAAGTACGGGGTCAAATCGAGATTGATTGGAGAGAATCTCAACCAATTTGCTCAAGAGCTCAAATTAGGGTTCAAGATTGAATCCCTGTTGATTCGAACCTTCGAATTCTTATCTTTTAAAGCAATCAAACTTTGTAAGGATGGATTGGTCGTATAAACTTAACAAAGGAGTTATGGGTTAAAATTTTGTGAGTAGGATCAAAGTTACTATTCCATCCGTCTCAAAATATTAGTTCCTTGTTCTATTTTTCATTATCTCAAAAATATTAGTCTATTTTCAAAAATCAAGTACAAAAATAATATAAATTTTATATTTTGCCATTCTTTTAAATTCATTAACAACATAAAAAGTACAATTATGACATTGATATTCCCCAAAAAATGTACTATCAAAATATTAGTCCATTTTCAAAAATCAAAAACAAAAATAATATAAATTTCATATTTTGCCATTCTTTTAAATTCATTAGCAACATAAAAAGTAAAATTATAATATTGATATTCTTCAAAAAATGTACTATCAAAAGGTAATGTTGGAAAATTAAGGCTCTATTTGTTTATGTTTTCAAACTAGTTTTCTACACCAAAGTTTAAATATGATGTTTGTTTAGTGTTTTAGAATCACGTTTCGAAAGCTCTGCAGAAAGCTCTGTCTTAGCCGCTTTCTCAGCCGCGATTTTTAGAATTTTTTTTAAAAAAATTTTGCCTGACGGGACGTCCGGCCGGTTGGCCGGAATAGTGATCTTTTTTTTTTTTTTTTTGCAATTGATATGTTAATTTTTATATAATCGAAAAAAATATTTTTTTGAAATTTTTAAAATTTTTTATGTGCTTTAAAATAATTTTGAGTTGTATGTTTAGTTATGAGTTGTAAATTTTTGTATCAAATATCAAATGTCACATCAATAATTTTCCACTCAAATCAAAACTCTTTTCAAAACTATTTTCAAAACTCTTTACCAAACAAATTTTCTACACTCAAATCATAATTCCAAACCCCACAAACTCATACTCTCAAATCTAATTACAAAACACAACCAAACGCAGGCTAAAATTTTAAAAGGGTAATAATTGTACGATCAAAAAAAGTTAGAATCCTCAGAAGGAATCATTATTTTGGGACAGGTGGAGTATTTTTTGTCAAATAGGACTTGTTTGTAAATTTTTCATAAGTTAAGTATACATTTTATATTACACGCTCTCTCATGTTTAAATTAACCCCAAGGGTTTGGCTTAGAAGGAGGAAAAGACAACCAAAGGGCTTATTACCCAAGAGGTTGTAAATTCGAATTTCATGAAGGCTAACATCACAAACCTTGGGACTAATGAAGGTTTGTCCGGTCATTAATTTCAGGACTCTAAGATTAGTCGAGATACACGTAAGTGAGTCCGAACACCCAATTATAATTATAATAATAATAATAATAATAATAATAATAATAATAATAATAATAATAATAATAAACTCTTCTGTGTAAATTGGTTAACAATGTTTTAAAAAACAGTTCCGATTCGTAACTCGAAATTAGCGTGGCTTGAATGGCCCGACATCAAAACGATGTCGTTTTGATCTTCTTTTTTTTTCTGCGTTTTTCTGATGAAAAAGAAGAAGAAAAGGAAGAAGAAGAAGGGTCTGCTGCAGATCTTGTTCATCATCTTCATCAACATCAACATCAACATCAACAAATTGCAACATCATCATCATCACACTACAAGAAATGTCACTTTTGGCTACTAAATTATTGGTCGGCAAAAGGCATAAATTTGGTCGCTGAAACGTTTTACCGACCAAATATTTTTGTCGCCAAGTTCGTCGCCCATACCCTGTCGGCGATAGTAATGGCGACTAAACTTCATTTGGTCACCAAAAAATGAAACTTTTCTCTACTAAATTTTTTTTAGTAGGCAAATGGTATCTTTTTGCCACTAAACCGTTAGTCACAGAAAGTGAACATTTAGCTACTAATCCTTTTTTTAGTAGGCAAACGTGACCTTTCCGCGACTAAATTTTTAGTCACTAAAAGTTCTACCTTAGGCGTGGTGCCTTTTGCCGACTAAAACTGTTCGTAGCCAAAAACCTATTAAAATTAATTTCTTTACTTTTTGCCACCAAAA